TGGGCTCTAGAGCACAGGCTCAGTAGTTGTGGCTCACGGGCTCTAGAGTGCAGGCTCAGTAGTTGTGGCTCACGGGCTCTAGAGTGCAGGCTCTGTAGTTGTGGCGCATGGGCTTAGTTGCTCCGTGGCATGTGGGATCTTCCCGGACCAAGGCTCGAACGCGTGCCCCTGCGTTGGCAGGCAGATTCTTAACCTCTGTGCCACCAGGGAAGTCCGAAAGTGGTTTTATTCTAATACTGAGTTGCAGAAGGATGTGGACCCTCCTGGGGTGGGAATTGAGGGAAGTGATTTCATTCCAGATCATTCAAAATGGAGCCACCAGGAATTGCTTGGGTCCTGGATCCTGTGAGCCCCAGCTCCAGCCCTGGCCACGTATAACGAGCCAGAAATAAGTTGTTCATTTTGAACCTAGATCGGTGCTTGAAAAACAGTGGTTCTCGGGCTAAATATGGTCTGCAGATTTATATATATACTTAAAAGAATTGAAAAGATTTCACATAAAAATTCAGAGATTGAGCCTCTTGGAAATGGAGGAGACTGGTCAATACCACCCTTGTTTCTGGAAATGGGAGCAAATGCCCCCTGTAGGTGGAGGGCGGGTGAGTGGCCACTGCTGTGTCAACCTCATTCCACACCTGGCAGGTGACCACCCGCGTTACTTGCTTGCCTGCCCTTCCTACTCTTGCCTTTGTGGTTTCTGAGTCTTTCTCTCATGCGTCCTTTAGCCCAACAACTCCCATTACCTATGATGATATAAATGTCACAGTCATTATAAACTCACAGTATCTGCAGACCCAGAAACAAGATTTCCACCCACGTTTGTCATGATAATATGCTCACCATAGAAGAAAATTTCAGTCTTTTCAGTCCTTTTTGTGACGTGAGAGAATTCTCTCCATTTGTGGATTTTCTGTTCCAAGTCTAACCTGCTGGTTTCTAAGTATCCCATTGTAAATACTCCTAAGAGCAGACAAGCTCACACTTGACTTCAATAGGTGGTTAAAAATTACCACCTTCAATTTTTATGGTATCATAATCCTTGGACAAATTGCTTTTAATTTAGGCTGTGCCCTGAACACAGATGTGCCATTAATTTTCAAGGGTAGTTTGACTTTTATTTAGATGAATGTCTTGAGTTGACAGTGAAATGGCTGTGAGCTCTGGCCTAGTGTTGATTGGAATGTCTCTGGAAGAAGCTTCAAAGAAAGTTGGCACTTAATGTGATGCTGGGCCCCTTAAGAGACAGACTCTAAGCTCATGATTCGCGGTACTTGTTAATCGTCAGTAATGGCAATGGAATGGATAGCTGAGATGAAAAATGTCAGCCAGCCCCTTCGGCATACACAGGACTAGGTGTATTTTAGTGGCAGGGAGCAGGGCGCAGTGCACAGTTAAGAAGTAAGGGCCCAGGGCTTCCCTGGTGGCACAGTGGTTGAGAGTCCGCCTGCCGATGCAGGGGACACGGGTTCGTGCCCCGGTCCGGGAAGATCCCACATGCCGCGGAGCGGCTGGGCCCGTGAGCCATGGCCGCTGGGCCTGCACGTCCGGAACCTGTTGCTCCGCAACGGGAGAGGCCACAGCAGTGAGAGGCCCGCGTACTGCAAAAAAAAAAAGAAGTAAGGGCCCATGTGGTCCACATCTCTGTGCATTCTGTTCCTGGAAGATTAAATTGGTCTGGATTTAAGGGTGTGATCTGAGAAGTTCAGCCGATCAAACATTGCCCCACTTGGTCCTTGTCTTCCTATGAGGAAGGGGGTCGGGGATGAAGGGGAGAGAGATGTAGTTCTGAAAGATTGTGATGGATGCTCTCATCTTGAGGAGGCTGCTGGCATCTGAGGCTTTGGTTCACACCGATGTTTCCCTGTGACACTGCTCCTCTCTCCTGTGCGCTTATCACTCGAAATATTTATTCATTGATGGTAGGAATGCTGTGTTCGTATAAACCTTATGATTAGGGTTGTACATTGCTCACTTCTTAAACAGTCCTCTCAACTTGGAGTATACATCTGAGCGATTTTTCATCTTAAGTTCTCGTTTAGACCAAGATCTCTCAACCTCTGTATGTTAGTGTTGACACTTAGGGCTGGATAATCATCTGTTGTTAAGGGCTGTCCTGTGTGTTGTAGGATGTTTAGCAGCATCCTTGTCCTCTACCCACCAGATGCCAGTAGCACCCCCCCCCCTCCATCTTCCCTGCAGTCGTGACAACCAGAAGTGTCTCCAGACTTTGCCAAATGTCATCCCTGGTTGAGGACCACGGATTTTTAGCCAAAGCAGGATCAGTCTCCAGCCCTTCTTTCCCACTGCTACTTCTTGATAGTGTTTGATGCCTTAGTAAAACATTAATTTTAAAAAATGCCATTTAGGGCTTCCCTGGTGGCGCATTGGTTGAGAGTCCGCCTGCCGATGCAGGGGATACGGGTTCGTGCCCCGGTCCGGGAAGATCCCACGTGCCGCGGAGCGGCTGGGCCCGTGAGCCATGGCCGCTGAGCCTGCGCGTCCGGAGCCTGCGCTCCGCAACGGGAGAGGCCACAGCAGTGAGAGGCCCGCGTACCGCAAAAAAAAAAAATGCCATTTAGAATAGCCTTGGACTTGATATGGTACAAAGCATTTGGACCAGCATGCTGTAGTGTAAAGTAGGAGGGTTAGCTTCCCTCAGAATTTCTTTATAAAGTTGTGAAGTGGCAAAATGGTATTGATTGAAATCCATTTGGATTTAGCCAACCTCAAGTGAATTGAGATTTTCACAGTGGCTTGTTTATGGATCCAAGTGGGGACGAGGTATAGCTGTAAATCTCATTATCAATAAGATTACTTAAAATAGGGCGTGAGATACGGGCAGTTATGAGGGAGAGGGATTATTTTTTGGGAGGCGAGGGATGGGTAGACGATTCCTGAATTTGAGGGTATTGATTGAATTTTCTGTTTGTTTTTTGCTCTCCTTTTACCAGGAACCTGAGTCACAGCAAACTTTCCGAGATTGATCCTGCTGGTTTTGAGGACTTGCCCAATCTACAAGAAGTGTGAGTGCTTTCCCCCAAACTTCTGGGGGTTGGGGGGATGGAGAGCTCCTTGGAAAGATTCTCTCTTATGGCAGCGTTGCTCTCTTCCCTGGATCAGCAGTCTGAACGTGTTAGAAGGAGCATCTGCGAGGGACTGTCAGTGACAAACTATCCTACTTAGTGCTCCTTCACTGAAGCCCCTCTCTTTTTCCTGGGCAGTCCAGCAGGTGTGGAGTTACTGGAAATCACAAGTCCATGGTGGGTGTATAGGCTTGTGGGAAGCCTGGTGGACCAGCTGGGTTAACACACCTGACTGGTACTTCCCCCAGTTCCCAGGGCGCTAGAGCAGCCTGCTTTGCAGGGACATTTGCGCCAGCCCACCCCCTCTGTTTCCCAGGAAACCAAGGTATAGAGGAATAGATAGTAAGGTAGACTTTTCTCTTCCCATATCCAAAGAGAACTAGACATTACTGCCTTTGGAACTCTAGGCTTGCTGCCTCTTGCAGTGTCCTTTAAATCAGGCCTCAATCTTTTCTCCTCCCCCTCCCCCTCCCCCCTCCCCTCCTCCCTCCCCTCCTC